GCTGGATTGTTGGTAAGAGGCACCATGGGCTAGAATTCAGGCTCATCCCAGTTGGCTGGCAGGAAGATAAGTCTATAGACCTCTGGGATGGGTGACTCTCAGGGACTGGGCTCTGCAATAGCAACTGTGCCCATGGATTTCTTAGAACCAACCAGGAAGCACACTGAGCACTCCTGGAGAGGGCAGCCGTTACCCGGAATCCAGCCACACATGCAGAATCCCATTCACCACCCTCCTCTCCAGTCTCTGGGGTTTCATGTCACCCACCTCCCCTTTTACGTTCCACTAACCTTGTCCCTGTAAACTTGTATGTGCATGACTCCTGTTTTCTATCACCTGACAAAGCACCAAGCAGGGTGGCAAGAGGCTCTCCAGTTCAAGGCCAACCTAGACTGTGTAGTGAGTTTCAAGTAAGCCTGGGCTACACAGCAAGACCGTCTCAAGAAGAAAAACAAAACCCACAAGGGCTGAGGATATGACTGCATATCAAAGATTGATTGCATGAAGCCCTAGGTTCAATTCTAAGCACTGAGAAATAAAAATAAAGATAAGAGCATCAGATGGTGTGTGAGGTAGGGGCTAGGCGTGGGAATAAGGATGTCCCCACCAATCTGCATGGCCCTACACTCAGCTGATGCTATCCCCTGGCTTAGGCCTCCTTTCAGAAGCTGTACTGTGTCCTACAAACACGAAGACTTCAGCTTACATGGACACATCCTGGAGTCCTTAGGGAGCTTGCAAAAGTCTGGCATACTTGCTCTGAGTCTGCAATAAGGAACCACATGATTCCCCTTCTCCACAGTCCTGCTCTGGAGACCTGCACACAGAAAGCCCAGTAGTGCCCACAGGGTTGGGGTGATGTCATGTGTAGGACTTCTTTTCAGTCAGCTAGTCTTCTCCAGGTCTGGTAAGCGGCCCCTTTCTTCCTCCCGTGCTCTCAGACTTCTAATGACTAACAGTTCCAGCCAGAGGGAGGACCTCTCCTTTGGAGCCCTCTAGGTTCTAGATAGTTGTCTGTAGAAGAGCCTTAAACCTCTGTAGCCTTGGCCAGATTGTCTCTGCCAGTGTGCTCTGTAATGCCCTGCTAGCTCTTTAGACTCTCTTTGCTTCTCTAGGAGTGTGCCTGGCCCCGAGGATTAAAGATTGTAAACATGACAAGAGGTTTTACCATGTGGAGGTTGCCTCCTAATGGGGCTTAGCAGCACTCTTGACCCTGCATGTGTTTCTTTGTGACAAAATAATGTCACCCAGGGTGCATCTATAAAGTCACATTGTGCCCTTCTGGTCATGTCCAGAGGACTGTGATTCAAATCAACTTTGCTTCTTCAAAGAGACAAACAGACTCCCTGGAGCAGTGATCGTCAACTGGGAAGAGTGTTCTGAATCAGCCTCTACCCCTTCCCTTAATGGTCTGCAGTGTCCAGGAATGTTAAGGTCCCTGCCCAGAGGTGAAGTCTCACCCCCATTCTGTACTGCACAGAGTGGTTCAAACTGGCCTCAATGGACTCAGCGGCAAGTGTCCCTGAGGCCTGCTGATTAACTATTGTCAGAAAAGGGCATTGTATCACAAAAAGTACTTTGGTCTTTAAGGATCTTAGGAGAGTGGGGGCTAAGGTGTGTAAAGGAGTTAAATTTACCATAGGGGATTCTGGAAGAATATATCTGGAGATAGGAAAAAAAAAAAAAGGGTCTGGGCTATGTGGAATGTTGACTCTTTGTTCCTGGAAGAATTCTAGCTAGTGTGGGGCAGTCCCTCAGCAGTGACACTAAATAGGATCCTGGGGCAGAGGACATTGAGCTAACAGCTCATCCAGTTAGTAGGTTACTTAGCTGGTTGGTTGGATGGATGGATGGATGGATGGATGGATGGATGGATGATGGATGGATGATAGATGGATGGATGGATGGATGGATGGATGGATGGATGGATGGATGGATGG